TGGAGTAGTAACTCTCTGGGATGTGAATAGTCAGAGTTCATATCATAACTTTGATAGTACGCATAAAGCTCCAGCTTCAGGCATCTGTTTTTCTCCTGTCAATGAATTGCTGTTTGTAACCATAGGCTTGGATAAAAGAATCATCCTCTATGACACTTCAAGTAAGAAGTAAGTGTGATGTGCTCATATCTTACTTTAGTTTAAAAAAAAAAAGTTATTTTATTAACAAACATAGACTGCTGGCTAATGTTCAGGAGATCTAATGTTTTTACACTTAATATGTATAGCTAGTAAAATCAAGCTCTTTTTCTTTTCATGCAGAAAAAATTGATAGGGGTATGGATATTACTTAGGGTATTTTTGAAATATAAATATTAAGGGATAACATCTTAATATTTTTATGTCTTTACTTTAGCATACTTACTATTCTTTTTGTAAATACATATTTTTAAAGCATTATGATTAATTTGCTTTAAAATTAATTTATTTTCTAGATCAAAGTTTCCTAAACTATTGACATTGTGGACTGGATAATTCTGTGTTGTGGGGGGCTGTTCCAATTATTGTAGGATATTTTGCAGTATCCCTGGCCTCTACCTATTAAATCCTATTATCATTGCCAGAGTCATGACAGCCTAAACTTTCTCCAAATATTGTCAAATATCCCTGGAGGATTATGGCCCCCTAGATGATCTTCTAAACATCTGGGCCCATTTTGCTTCTTTCTTCAGTTATAGGTGTGCTGGATCAGTTACATAAACAAAAATCAGCTATAAGAGTGCTAGAGCTGTATTCAAGATACCTGATGGGAAGTTCCCACTGTTGGGCCTTGTTAGGATGCTAGAGTTTTTACTGTTATTTTTTTCACTCTCAGAAGAGTTAGCAAGCCATTCTTCTCACACTAGACACACAGGCAAAGAGATCAGCTTCAGCAGATCAGAATCCATATTTCTGTGTTAGCTTCTTCAGGATCAAGCTACATGGACTCTGTTCCTTTTAGCTTTTTGGTCAAGAAGTGTACAAC